AGATGGTGATGGTGATGGGGTAAGTGGTACTGGTGATGGCGCTTTTGAAAGGATCTTATTGTTATGGCTGGATATCACGGATTTCACGTTTTTCAGGCAACTATAGCTCACTTTGATGGTATTCCTGTTGAAAATTTTGTTGAGGGCGGATGACTTAGGGAAGTGAATATCTACGAGGTGTAGAAAATCTTTACCAATGTTGGATCTCACGTTTTTACTGTAGGGCGGTTCAACAAGAAATGCTTAACCAAAGGCATTGTCTACCATGCAAAGATCGCAGCGGAGGACAACGGAGAAACAAGGCACTATATTGGAATTACGGCTACAACCTTCAAGGAACGTTTTAGGAACCACCAGAAATCATTCAACATCGCTACGTATGCTAACGACACTGAACTGTCGAAGTACATATGGAGTTTGAAGAAAAGCAATCGCCCATACAAAATTAAATGGACAATTTTAAAACATTCGAGTGCATACGGATCGGGACGTAATCAGTGCAATTTGTGTAGCGACGAAAAACTTTTCATCATGAAATTTAAAAAGAACTCGCTGCTCAACAAAAGAAGTGAAATATTCTCGAATTGCGTCCACCAAAAACAATTTCTGGCGGGAAAATACATTCGCGTGCAATCGAACAACGTGCGCAATCATGCACGCGCAAGCAAACAAAACCAAACCGTCAAATTTAGTTAACATAACTTTAGTTGTCCGAAGATTGTCTGTAAACTCAGGCATGAAACTCGAGTAACAACGTTTGTTTTGTACTTTATTTAAATAATTAAATGTATATATATATATATATATATAGAAGTGATTCAGCAAAAAAAAAACTGTCATTTTTCCCATTTTTGGCCCCAACACCTTGTATGACAAATGCCGTCAAACGTCCGGATAACTTTGAATTTTCAGAAAATTATTTTGGCAGTCATGACGGCAGAGGAAAAATATTAAAAGTCATGAAAGCACAGGCAAATGGGATAATTTGTTCAGGAATGACGGATAAATATTTATAGGGATGCGCTCATTGTGCGCACCCCCGGTACAAATAGGGCTAAAATACATTACAAGCGCGTGTGAATGATATGAAATTATATCCTGGGTGATATAATGGGTGGAGCTCTAGTGCTCCACCCGATCCAGAACCCCCACTATTCCAATATTACTCCTAATTTTTTTTCTGCTGTTCTAAGCTTCCTCCCCAATGGAATGTTCACAGGATGGATAATACCTAGTACATATGTAGTAATTACATTAGGGACGAACCATTAGAAGTGATGGGCCGGAGGGAGTACTTTCAGCTAACATAAAGTTTTCGACCGTCTGTTTGTGTAGAATTTTTTAATGAAATTTTAAAGCCTTTTTTGCTCCCTTTGCAAGATATTTTCTCCTTTCTTTCTCTATTGCGTGATTTCTTCCCACACCTTACTTTTCTGATCGTCCGTCCCTCTCACATTCCTTTTCCAATGACCTGTTCATTGTGGAACAGCAAAACTAAATTCCAGATCTTTTTATATTTTTTCAGGCCGAACAGAATTAGAACTCCCGGAGGGTAGACGTGGTTACCCAAATTCAACAACAGTGGATTCCTGGCCATGGATTTTTAAAGAATTTCGAAACCATGGTTACGCCACGCTATATAGCGAAGATGACGCGTATTACAACGCATTCAACTATCGGCTACACGGATTCCGCGATCCACCCGCTGATCACTATACACGCCCGTTTTGGCAAGCTGCCCGCACTGCAGGTTACTGTATCAAATCAACACCCCAACCGCAACTTCATTTTGACTACGTGGAAAGCTTTATGAAGGCTTACAAAAATCAGCCCAAAATTGGACTATCGTTTCTGGCTGAAATTTCGCACAGTAACATGAACACTTTGAGTCCGACAGAGGGGTTTGTTTTGAATTTTTTCAAGTCTATACAGGAAAAAGGATATCTAAATGATACGATACTTATAACTTTCAGCGATCATGGAATGAGATTCGGAGAGGCAAGAGCTACAATGCAAAGTCGCCTGGAGGAGAGGCTACCATTTCTGTCAATCACCTTGCCAGAAATAGTCCGCCAGAGGTTTCCACAGTTAAGTGATAATCTGAAAGCTAATAGCAACAAACTCCTCTCCCCGTTTGATATACACGCAACATTACGCCATGTTCTAAATTATCCCAAGAACGAACCGGAGAAAATTGGTCGTAGTCTTTTTCAAAGCATCCCTAAAGATAGAAGCTGCGCGGCATGCGGGATACCAGTGCATTACTGCCCGTGCGTTCAGCTGCAAAAAATAACTACTGCGCATTTTCATGTCCAGAAGGCCGCAGAAGGCTTGGTAGCTCATCTTAATAAAATCCTAAATGCCGACAAACTTGCTTCACAAATGTGCGCAAACCTAAAACTTGGCGAAGTTAGATCGGCTTACCAAAATTTAAACCATCCCAAGTTGGTAAAATTCGTGGGATCTAAAGATATCGACGGTCGCATCCCTTGGTTTGGGAATGACACAAGTGATTACGAGTGTAATTATCAGTTATTGATCAAAACTGTCCCGGGGAATGGGTTGTTCGAGGTGACCACTCAACTGCTGGATGGGAAGTTTCATTACGGGAATGAAATTAGTCGTATTAATAAGTACGGTAATCAGCCACATTGTATAGCTGAGAGGCGACCTTATTTAAGGACATTTTGCTTTTGCACACATGTTGAAAAACTGAAGACGAGATGAACAACTGCCGACAGGAGGCAGTTGGGCCACTTTTGGCTGCGTGTCTTCAAATCAAACATATGAAACAGGGTAGTAAATTCCAGATGTAAACCGATCATTGCAAATTTGCAACGTTACTCCACTGCTAACTGACAAAATTTTTGAAAAGTGTTTATTCGACGTTTCGAATAGATTTTAGTTATCATCAGGAATGATTAAATTACTGCATCTAATAATTTTTTGCAAGTATGCTTTAAATGTTTATACTGTTTATGAAGGAGTTGTAATTTTCCTAAGTTAGTAAATTACACTGTTTATATAAAAATATAAAGGACTGTTATGGCATAAAGGGAAACACATTATAATGGGTTAACTATGTTTAGACCAACAGCATATATTTATGTAAGATTGACCAAACTTTCTGTTATAGAAAACATAAGTCCCCTGTGCCGTACATACATTTAACGAATAGTAGCACCGGGAAATAAAAGCCGTTGAGTAGATAAAAAACATAAGTGGCACTCTGACCTTTGTAATCGATTTCTGGCATTTCCAGAGTCATAGCACAAACGTCCCATTGTTCACGTTTTAAAATTGTATTTCCGGTTGGGATTAGCTCACAGAAATGGACATTATACGGTGATAAAAGATGCAAATTTGGAGATAAGGTTCTATATTCAATTAACGTGTTTTAAAACGTTATAAAACGTTCTAACATGTTTTAACACGTTCTAACTCGTTTGAAAACGTTCTAACACGTTTTAAAACGTTTTAGTACGATTCAAACACGTTTTCAAAAACGTTCTAACACGTTTTAAAATCTAACACGTTGAACACGTTTTAACACGTTCTAACACGTCTTAAAATGTTCTAATACGTTTTAAAACGTTCCAACACGTTTAACACGTTCTAACACGTTTGAAAACATTCTAACACGTTTCAAAACGTTCTAATACGTTTTAACAAGTTTTAATTTAATCGTTCCAACACGTTCTAAGTCGTTCATAGACGTTCTAATACGTTTTAAAGCGTTCTAACACGTTTTAAAACGATTTAAGAGCGTGTGTCTCTAAAAACCGCCCACTGACTTGGGGCTCGAAAAATAAATTTCTTCGAAACTTTTACCGTGAACTACATTTACTTTAACAACAAACAAATGCTGTTTGGAATTTTGAAAATATATTTAGTTTCAAAGTTTTAGCGATTTTTTGGTCTCGCACCGTCGCGGGAGAAATTCGTCGGCTAATTAAACGAAAAAATGGGCTGAATTTAAATAAACATAATTTCAAAAGGTTTTGTTCAAAATTTCTGATATTCACACCCAGCATCGGAAAACTATCGTAATTTCATCTAAACTAACTTAGGTTTTCAATTACAGAGCATTTGTGACAATATTTAACGACAAAGAGCGCCATGTCAAAATACGGCTTTCAAATCCTACACTATATTCTTTGTTGAATTTCCTAAAAGTGGGACCTAATTACATATAGTGACTAGTATAGTTGGAAAAAGGACACTTTGAAGTACTAAAACCGTAACAAAACTCGTCTGCAAACGCGATTTGAACAATTGAGAGGGTTTGAAATTTGATACTATTTATGGCCTTTTGTTTACATTTGAATGTTGCTGAGGTCAGACGTCTGAGTTCATGTCACTTCTAAAAATGCGCGGTAGTTCTGCCAAATAACCTTTCCTTCAAATAAGTTTATAGCACTTGCACTTTTGTACTAATCTATATTTCTTTGTTTATGTCCACCATAGGTCGTTCCAAGGGATTTAAAATAATAGGCATGTTAAAATAAACAACTTGACCAAATCATAGTTAATATAATGCACCTATCAATGTTAACCCCGAGGGGGGGGGGGGTCGGGCAAAGGGTGGGGATTTGATCAATCAGGTGGTCCCATGGGTCGGGATTTGGACTGACACTTTTTTTCTAAGTGGCCCGAGGGTGGGGATTTTTGACAGATTAACACTGATCTCAGACGATATACTGAAGAAACCTGAGCCAATTTTAGAACAAACTCTGACTCGTCCCCAGTCGCCCGCGTTGTAGCTGTCAACGCCTAACCCGCGAACGGGCATATTCATCCGCACTAAAATGTAACGAGGGACTGTGGAAGAGTCAGGAACAAACTGAAGACTGGGCACTAGTTTAGTCGCTCGCTGTCTCGCGCGTTGTTTTTACAAGAAATATGGAGATTTCTGGACAAGAAATAAACACTTATAAGCCATTTTATAATTATATTAATATCGATTTATACTTATATGTTAAATGTTCACATTATGTACTATTTAAAACACGAGTAAGAGTGTGTTTTAACAGATATCAAACGCGAGGCAGGCAACTTAAAATACGACTACAAAAGAATACTAATTAGGGCGAACAATTATATAAGAATACTGACAATATAATTATATAAGAATACTGTGTTTTATTAGCCTGTGTTCCAGTCTATTACACCGTGGTGTAGCGGACTGGCCACGGAACACAGGCTAGTGTTTTATCAGATATTATAAACTCACTTCACGTGACATAATATGGCTAACATAATTTGCCGCAAGGTATATGAATTATTAATGAATTATATTGCTGCAAAATTTGAGAGTAATGCTATCGGTTCAACTGTATGCGGAGGGTGTCGGGGTGAATCGGGTATTAGACGCTTAGCAGATTTTGATGAGAACATTCAAAATCATCTTTCAAGTTGCCGTTTGTCGAAATATAAAGAGAAGAAATACGCTCTATGACAGTATGCCCATACCACCGGTACAACTTGGGCCGATACTGGAGATCTCGTCTAACATGCCAACATCCTTCTCACACTGCGCCTGCACGTCGCTGCAAAGGAAAAGATGTCATTAACCTGGAAGTATCACGGGATGTATTCCAAATTGATGGAGTACTTGCGCAAGTTGGTTCTCGTAAGTGATAAATATAGTATAGGCCAGTGCGGCATTCGCATGGTAACATTGGAAATTAGAGGTATACTGTAGTATCACAGCGACATGCTGATAATTAGCTTTTTACTCGGGCTAGCAAAGGTAGAACGAGTTATAAAATGGGTTCGCATTTCCCTGTCATGTCGCAAGTTTGCAAAAAACACGCGTGGGTGTCACTCATGCCACGTACACTGAAAGATGATCTCGCTGTGAATGTAGTTGTGGTATTTGGCAACACTAAACGCAACTTGCTATAAGTTGTTCCTTTTCGTGTTGAAAGGTGGGCTTAATTTGGCTATCGATCGTACTTGAATTTTAAATCTCAATATTACGCAAATTTGACTAGTTTTTGCAAGTAGTGCTTTGTAATGCCGAGCGCACGTGATGTTGTAGAGGGCCGACTGCAACGTTTGCGGTAAAACTCGGGCAAAATAGCGGATCAAAACAATCTGATTGATGTTATCCGACTACTATCAACTAAGAATAATCGCTGAAAATGACAGGAAAACGTCAGGTATTTGTTAAATAATAATGTCCTTGTGTGCGTCCGACTTAACATGCACCTACTCTAAAAATGCATTGCAGAAAATTGTCTCATTTCACCTCGCCTTTACTCAGTGCTACGTTTAAAAAAAAACCACCTAAATTAAAAATGCGCTAAGTGCCAATTTCAGTGTATGATAGGATGCTAAAAGTATACTTGTGCTTCAATGTTTGCATGACATTGACTGGTTGTACAGTACATAATAATCGAAATAGACCTTTCCAGTAAGTACGTCACAACTGCATGGAAGTGAGGCTGAGGGGCCAAAGGAAACGCGTAATGGCATACGCTTTGGCCCCTCAGCCTCACTTCCATGCAGTTGTGACGTAATTACCGGAAAGGTAATAGTTTAATACAAAACAAAAGCTTTTGTTGGTTTTTCCCGGGCGACATTTTTTGCAAGTGTTTACCGTGATTCAATTTTATATGTTTAATATCATCTATTTAAATATCTTGTAAGATAAACAACGAAATCTAGTTTAGTACTATGACATTATCGATTTGTTTTGAGAGAAGGGCAATGAGAAAATGTTATTTGGTAGCCTGCGAACAGGCTCTCTTTAGCCTGGTTCACATATGCCTGCGGTATGCCTGCGACTGTATCATTATGCCTCTACTGGCCGCCGAAATACCGGCAAAGTTGAACTCAAGTCAACTTTCCCGGCCTACCGCCAATGTAACTGTGGCACTGGAGGCAATCGGCGAACAAATATTCACATAATTTACGTTTTAAGTGAACCAGGCTTTTGACTCAGACGTCTGACCTCAGCAACATTCAAATGTAAACAAAAGGCCATAAATAGTATCAAATTTCAAACGCTCTAAATTGTTCAAATCGCGTTTGCAGACGAGTTTTGTTACGGTTTTTAGTACTTCAAAGTGTCCTTTTTCCAACTATACTAGTCACTATATGTAATTAGGTCCCACTTTTAAGAAATTCAACGTAGAAAATAGTAGGATTTGAAAGCCGTATTTTGACATGGCGCTCTTTGTCGTTAAATATTGTCACAAATGCTCTGTAATTGAAAACGTAAGTTAGTTTAGATGAAATTACGATAGTTTTCCAGTCCAGTGCTGGGTGTGAATATCAGAACTTTTGAACAAAAACTTTTGAAATTATGTGTATTTAAATTCAGCCCATTTTTTCGTTTAATTAGCCGGCGAATTTCTCCCGCGACGGTGCGAGACCAAAAAATCGCTAAAACTGTGAAACTAAATATATTTTCAAAATTCCAAACAGCATTTATTTGTTGTTAAAGTAAATGTAGTTCATGGTAAAAGTTTCGAAGAAATTTATTGTTCGAGCCCCAAGTCAGTGGGCGGTTTTTAGAGACACACGCTCTCAATACGGTTCGAACACGTTTTAAAACGTTCTAAGACGTTTTAGCACGTTCTAACCATAGATATCTTATATACACTAGATAGCGCATCTCATTTAGTAAAATTGAAGCCAAGAATATTCCAGCGGTTACCCCCATTTGAATAGATGGCGGCCATGTTGGTCGTTCCCACTTGCTAATAAACGCTTAAAAACAACAATAACTTTCATTATTTGAATAGTTTGAAAATGTATTTGGAATAGGGTTAACTTAATGTTTAAGTTCCCTGTTTAAGAAATAGAAAACATATGAATCTTCTCATTTCATGGGAACGACCTGAGACTGCAATCACGGCTTCAATTTTTGAATTGCAGAATAATTAGATGCACTATCTAGTGTATATAAGATATCTATGGTTCTAACACGTTCTAACACGTTTCAAAACGTTACAAACGTTTTAAAATGTTCTAACACGTTTTAAAATGTTCCAACACGTTTTAACACGTTCTAAAACGTTCTAACACGTTTGAACACGTTCTAGCACGTTTCAAAACCTCCTAACACGTTTTAACATGTTTTAAATCGTTCCAACACGTTCCAGCACGTTCTCTTGGCCGTAGTAATTGGCAATAAGCTGTTGCGGTGATCGGGCTACACTGTTTTGTTATTGTAATATAATGTGGGCAAAGTTAATAAATTAAAATTAAACAAGACGCCTGCTCAGGCGTTCACACTGGCCTGGAAATGACGACATGTTTTAAAACGCTGTAAAACGTTTATACAACTTGTTTTAAAACGTTTTCAAACACTCATTGATAATTCATAAGCTTATTGGCAAATCATGTCAACCATAATATATCACGTGCAGTGTCTTTAAACCTGATAAAACCATAGATATCTTATATACACTAGATAGCGCATCTCTTTTAGTAAAATTGAAGCCAACAATATTCCAGCGGTTACCCCCATTTGAATAGATGGCGGCCATGTTGGTCGTTCCCACTTGCTAATAAACGCTTAAAAACAACAATAATTTTCATCATTTGAATATTTTAAAAACGTATTTGGAATAGGGTTAACTTAAAGTTTAAGTTCCCTGTTTAAGAAATAGAAAACATACGAATCTTCTACTTTCATGGGAACGACCTGAGACTGCAATCACGGCTTCAATTTTTGAATTTCAGAATAATTAGATGCACTATCTAGTGTACATAAGATATCTATGGATAAAACACTCCTAATTAGTATTCTTTATATAAAGAATACTAATAAGGCAGTATCTATTGTTGTTGTGTCTTCATTAGTATTTTTTATATAAATAATATTAATAAGGTGGTATATCTATTGAATTTGTAGTCGTGTTTGAAGCCGTTTAATAAACTCGCAGGTCGTGTTTTATTAGGTCTAAAGCCACTCGCGCTGCGCGCTCGTGTCTTTAAACCTAATAAAACACTCCTGCTCGTTTATTAAACAGTACTTCAAACACTCATTAATAATGCATAAGGTTATTGGCAAATCATGAGACCTACTCTGGGACCTTAACTCGCCTTAACTCGCCCTAACTCGCCCTAACTCGCCCTATCTCGCAATAGAAATTGATCAAATTTTGCCTAACTCGCCCAATCTCGCCTTATCTCGCAATGAGAAGTTGACATAATTTTGCTTAACTCGCCTAAATTCGCCCTATTTTGCAATAACAACCGGCACAGTTTCATGTCAGTAAAACACAAATACTGTCAATCAAAATTCTTTAGACTCACAATACTCACTTATATATTCTATGAGTTTGGCATTGCAACTGACATCAACATACAAGTATGTAAGCCTGATTATCTGAAATGTTATCATATTTTTAATTTACTACATTCTCTGTAATGCCATAAAGCGGTATTGATCAAATAATTCCACCAACTACTCTACTTTAATACAGTAAGCAGGCCTTGGCAGGCATACTGTATACAGTAATACCCAGTATTTAATAAATCACAGTGAAAATAATTGAACATAATAACAGAACCCAAACTGCCATGCAAGTATGGTTGAAAATTAATATTCCCATATATACTAATATACAAATCACTTATCTATTCTATTTCAACTATACTATGATATCAAAACATCAAAAGTACTTGCTTAACTTTTATGCAGCTATCACATGACTATCAAATTTTACTAAAATACTGTTTATACCACAGTTAAAGTATAAAGGTCTCTGTGATATCAACAGCTCAAACTGCAAAGTTATTCGTTGAACTGTTTTTATATACAACCGGCAACAGAGCTACTGAACCAACGATACGCGCAGAATTTTAGGAGAAATATTTTAATACACAATCACATTCACAAAATTCGTGAATGTATAGATTTACAGTAAAAGCAAAGTTAAAGGTGAATATTGTAGTAAACATACCGTGCTTGCCTGTCTGTGACCAACATTAAATTTAGTAGAAACAATCTGTAGTGATAAGGCTTTTTGAATCTCATTTTAATATCATAGTTAAGTACATGAATAACATGATAAAAAACTTTAAAATGTCGATGCATATCCCGCCATATTGCGTTTGCGGAATCGAATGATTCTGACTTATAGACTGCGTAGACCCCCCCCCCCGACCACAGCGGAATTGCCGCGATGATGGGAAGGAAGATTCCGTTTACCAGGGGGGCGGGATGCTGTCTGGGAACAGATATTGAAAATATCGCTCCCTTCAGCGGAAAAATTACAATCTGCTTGCAATACTTAGTGTTAGTGTTAATGAGAGGCAGTGAATTCTGAATATAAAAGCTTGATAGGAAATAGGAATATATATTATTAAACAATAATACAGTTTTATACAGAGGAATCATTGTCATTTACATTCATTTACGTTTCCAAAGCAAGTAAGTTGGGCATTAATTTTAGTATTATGACCGTTGGTTATCATTTAATATGCCATTGTGGTTCGAAATTTCGTTAATTAAAATAGTTATTAAAGTCCTAAATTTAATAGTAAATAATCTATAATTTCCTAGCAAGCTTTTTAGTTTCTCTTTGTTTCATATCAATGTTTATATTAAATTAAAAATTGAATACAAGGACTGCTGCTTGCAAACAAATTCGAACCTAATTGATAATGTCATGATTCATGAAAACAGCTAAAAATTACAAAATATGTGGTGAAGCTAGTCATAGCAAGTGAGCAACTGATACTCTGAAGATTTAGGAAACAATGCAGTTCTATACACACTATGCATAATGCCTCAAATTATACAATTTGGCATCTAGCTACCAGCCTCGTTTTGATGCAACTTGTTTCCAGGTCCCGAGTTATTGTGCATATCATGTATGTATTGTAGAATATAGAATAAAACACTTTTCTACGCCTGCTACTTCAAGTACAGCATACTTGCTTTGCATAATGCACAAACAAAGCAAAATACATAGTGTGTATACAATATCCAGATTTTCCCTTAACTCGCCTTATCTCGCCTTAACTCGCAAGGGTCAGTAGCCAGATTTTTCCTTAACTCGCCCTATCTCGCCTTAACTCGCATAGGCTCGCCTTATCTCGCGGCGAGTTAAGGTCCCAGAGCAGGCCTATCATGTCAGCCATAATATGTCACGTGCAGTGGCTTTAAACCTGATAAAACACTCCTAATTAGTATTCTTTATATAAAGAATACATCATTAGTATTCTTTATATAAAGAATACTAATAAGGTCGTATATCTATTGAATTTGTTGTCGTGTTTGAAGCCGTTTAATAAACTCGCAGGTCGTGTTTTATTAGGTCTAAAGCCACTCGCGCTGCGCGCTCGTGTCTTTAAACCTAATAAAACACTCATGCTCGTTTATTAAACAGTACATAAAACGTTCTAACAGGTTTTAACACGTTCTAACTCGTTTGAAAACGAGTCGAACACGTTTTAAAATGCCAATAAGAATTATAAGAAACAAAATTGATGTGGATAAACTATAATTTTTATTTAAAACATTATAACATTATTAAAAAATATTAAAAAATTATTAAAAAATAGTATTGTCGTGTTTGAAGCCGTTTAATAAACTCGCAGGTCGTGTTTTATTAGGTCTAAAGCCACTCGCGCTGCGCGCTCGTGTCTTTAAACCTAATAAAACACTCATGCTCGTTTATTAAACAGTACATAAAGATGTTCTGCCTTGGATGAATTGAAGGTGAAAATGCCAATAAGAATTATAAGAAACAAAATTGATGTGGATAAACTATAATTTTTATTTAAAACATTATAACATTATTAAAAAATATTAAAAAATGATTAAAAAATAGTATTGTCGTGTTTGAAGCCGTTTAATAAACTCGCAGGTCGTGTTTTATTAGGTCTAAAGCCACTCGCGCTGCGCGCTCGTGTCTTTAAACCTAATAAAACACTCATGCTCGTTTATTAATTAAACAGTACATAAAACGTTCTAACAGGTTTTAACACGTTCTAACTCGTTTGAAAACGATCCGAACACGTTTTAAAACGTTCTAACACGTTTTAAAATCTAACGCGTTGAACACGTTTTAACACGTTTCAAAACGTTCTAACACAGCGTAACTAACAAAGCGTTTTTAAATTTTAAATTAATTAAAATCTCACCCAGTAAATTTGTAGTTTCATAATTACGTAAGTAATTGTTTAATTAACTGGTTGAGATTTCCGTTTGGATGTTCTGCCTTGGATGAATTGAAGGTGAAAATGCCAATAAGAATTATAAGAAACAAAATTGATGTGGATAAACTATAATTTTTATTTAAAACATTATAACATTATTAAAAAATATTAAAAAATTATTAAAAAATAGTATTACATAAATATTATATAAATATTATCACATTATTTGGTTAAAATTGTTATAGTTATTGCCATATTGGGGTAATAGTTGGTTGTTTCTTAATTCCTATTATAATTATATATTAAAATTCTCACAGCTTGAGGTTTTCACTGGGAGTTCATGTTATTAAAGGTTTTCTGACAAATTGGGGGAATTGAATATGATAAATAGCTAAAAATCAATGCCTTGTGTGCCGTCCATGTTGAATATTAATGTTAATTGAAACTGTTTCAGACTTAGAGTTGCACTTGGCATTCAAAGTTAAGTTGTTACTCAAAGTTAAGTTGGCATTCAAAGTTAAGTTGTTATTCAAAGGTGACTTGGCATTCAATGTTAAGTTAACATTCAAAGACGACTTCGCATTCAAAGGTGACTTGGCATTCAATGTTAAGTTGGCATTCAAAAATAAGGCCTTGTCCAACAAGGCCTCGCCAAAAGACAACAAGGAGACCTCTAAAGAAAAACAGAAAATAAAATAAGACACATAATCCTACAGTCCAGCGTTTTCTGTCAACGCTGCAGCTGATCAGCTAGCAGGGTTGAAAATTTCAACCCTGTTGAACTCGGCCCTGGGTTGAAAATTTTGTTGAGTAATCATTTCAACCCAGGGCTGAAATTATTCATGAGCAAAAATGAAGGATTTTTTTACTTCTGGGAATCAATACCGACAACTTATAGCATTTCAACCCCAGGGTTGAATAGAGCTGTGCGCCAGAGCAGTCGGAGTGCCAGCATATTTTGCCAGAGCCAGAGTCGGAAAACTCCGGCAGACAAAATTATGAAAAATCATTTCATATTTCAATGAACATTTGGTATTAAATGGAAAAATTAAGTCGTCGTTTACTAGAATATATTACTATTTATATGTTGTTTTACTATATATTACTATGTTGTTTAATATTAATAGTGTTGTTCACTATAAAGTTAATTAAATTACTTGCTCGGTTGCTTTGATCCATTTCGTGGTTTCGACCCCATGCAGTACATTTTGGGTGAAACGTTGAGACGAAAGAGCCGTTGATTGTTTCACTCATAAAAAATCCGTCTAGCCATAGGTAGCCCAAACACACTGTGCGATTTAAATGCTTGGCATACTTAATTACCTCCTGCGGTTTCGACCTCAAAATAATAATGTTAACGATTAGATCGAAAATATTCTGAATTTTTACACTGAAATGTATCACTAATCAATACTTATTGTTGAAGGAAATATACTTAGGTACATAGCATGCATCAGCAAAAATAAATAGTTTATACCTTTAGTAGAAGCGCTTGAAATCCAGCTTTAAAATCATGACACTCACGGCGACGCGGCGGAGGAGGGGAAAGGAGACAAGGTTGGCAACATCCATTGGCCAAGCTGCACGTATCACCATAAACAAACCCGTCTAACTCAACAATACGGAAAGCTCAGCCGAAAATTCTACAACAGCTGATAAAACAACTATCTTGCTTTCCAACAATGTAGTCCTTTCAAAATTTGAAAGTTTCCCTTTGGAGAAATTTCAATTCAAACCACGGCCTCTACACAAAATTTACGATGTGACTGGGCGCAAGGTAAACAAGGTTCACAAACGTTCAATTTTAAATTTAAATCTCGCGCCTAATTGGATAAGCGTAATTGAATCAAGTGACGTCTCACAACGTCGTCTAACTATGATCAGGGGGGGAGAAAGGTTTGATATTCACTTTTATTCTTGCTACTCGAAGCTCAAACATGGCGCGTCAATTTGGCGCGCTCGAGTATTGAAAGCAAACCTTTTTTTTACCGACGATGGAGGGAGGCAATAACGACAATGAACAACTCGACGGTTGTAATCAAGAGGAAGGTGAAGGTGGTTCACGTGGACCTCGCAGAGGACGTGGATATACAATTCAGGGCCTCTCTTGGTAAGTGACTTTTAAAATATATTTTTTACACACATACGTAAATATTTAAACATATTGAACAACTCTACGGCTGTAATCAACAACGGTATGTTTTCACGTTATTCATTTGACGATATTTCTTACAAAATACATTATTCATACAACGTTTCATCTAGTCATAATACGCGTCGCATTAATATTAATGAATGATTTGTTTGGACATGCATATATATATTAAAGGATATATATAAAGCCACTACAAGTTGATCTTTAGTTTCTGGTCCGCCGCCCGCGTCCTTTCTCCGTAAAGTATTATTTCAGGACTATTTTGTTATTTACAATTAATTTCTATACTTGAAAATTTTCGCAAAGGATTTAGCTTATATAGAACGATAAATATTTAATTTACACTAAAAAGACCGAGCAAAATGTAGTATTGAATGGTAAAAACCGCTGCCTTATCGATATTAATACGAGGTAAAAAAAACCTAGAAATATTAGTAGATCATTTTGATATGTAAAATCCTTTGTAATCTGTCATACATGTCGATTTATAAATAATATAAATGCAATTTATGTAAAATTTCATAACATTTTGATACAATTAGCATGAAAAGGGACAAGAATAAAGACCACAGAAATGTGGGCAAAGCCACAATTGTAATTATGTCCTATAGTCCTATAAACCACCCGCCCGCCCGCGTCATAAACGAAGGTAAGGCAGGACCAGAAACTAAAGATTAACTTGTAGTGGCCTAAAGGTCTTTGTTGAATTTATAGCGTCAAGCGATAGCCTTGTCTACACCTAGAAATTGGCCTGTGGGTGGGGAAATGGTGAGGAATTCTAGGTCAGTTTTTGCAAAGGCACCACTATTGCCCGGGGGTCCCTAGGGTGGGGGGGAAGCCGATTACACATGCGATTACACATGCATAGGACAAGCAAGTTTCCTTGACAAGTTTATCACTACAATTTTCCAGTTTTCCCTGTGAAAAACTTGTCAGAAAACTTCCTCATCTGTTTGGGCCTTTAGGACCTAATATGAGCCCAGTTTGCCAGGAAGCTCACCTGCATGAGCGGGATGAATTATTTCTGCAAATTCTGTGTTTATCCCACCTAATTTTGATCCACATTATAGGAGTAAATGTAAGCATGCTGTATTCTTGACTTGCACATCGGCCATGGTGGTGGCTTGGCACAAAATAATATTTTATAATTCTACAATGACAACCTTACTACTCCACAACATTACATATTTATAGTAGAATATTATTTACAATATTAACCCTTTAAGTGGCAATGCACCCTACTTTATTATTTTATTGTGTCTAACACCAAATAGTTTTACTTGTCAAGGAAAGAGTGCTGCACTCAGTGGTTAATATATTATTATTGCAAATATGTAGGCCTATAATACTGTATAATACTATGCCAGGTGGAGCTGTTTATATTATTGAAGTTCTTTGTATGTTTGCATGGCGATAAAACACATCCTATTATAATAGAAGCTGGCACCACAATATATTGAAAAGGCTAAACAACTACTGTAAGAGCCATATGCATGACACATATTATTATGTACTTTATATTCTAGTTTAACCAGCGACCAAGAAAGGTTGTGCGAAATCGCACTAGAAGGTCACAATATATGTATAACTGGGAAGGCAGGGACAGGAAAATCCGTTCTTGTGGGTTGCATACAAAGAGAACTGAAAAGGCGTGGCAAAACTGTAGCGGTTATTTGCTCAAGTGGTTTGTCTTGCGAAGTTTACCAGGGTGCAAAAGCCAAAACAGTCCACTCGCAATATGGTCTTCAAATCGCAGAACTCCCATATGATAAACTAGTGAAAAGGTCATTGGCAAAAAACAATGTAGTTGATCATGTAAAGTCTGTTGATGTTGTTATTTGGGATGAGGTTTCAATGTCAAGTCAGAGGATACTTGAAATTGTTAGCCGGATTCACCATATTGTATTGGCGTCATATAAGCCACTCGGAGGTGTACAGTTTATCTTAGTTGGAGATTTCTGGCAGTTGAGCCCCATTGCAAGTGCAGTTGATGCTGGACTCTTTGCCTTCCTGGCTACAATTTTCAACATTGCCTTTCCTCACCGATTTGAATTGACAAATATTATCCGGCAAGACAATTCCCAGAAATCCTTAAGGGTTGCCCTAGAAGGTTTGAGATATGGCAAGTGCACTGACGAGTCAGAACTGCATATACAGAGCTTAGAAAATACAATACTATGTGAGGGAACTTTACACCTTTTCTTCAAAAGATTGCCTGTAGAGATCCATAATTTTAACGTACTGCTTGGTATTCCCGGAAGAATGTTCTCTTTACATGCACAAGATCAAGGGCATGTCACCACCTTGGATTTTACGGTTGGAAAGACTATCCATTTAAAAGAAGGCTGCAATGTTTTGCTGTTGTACAACATCAGCGAAGACTTGAGGAATGGAACGACTGGTAAACTTGTCAAAGTTGAAGAAGATAGCTTGACAGTTGCCTTTCCGAAAGTTGGACACAAACAAATAGTTCGTAAAATATGGTATGTGCACGACAGAAATGGAAAGGTACTTGGTAGCCGTACACAATTCCCAATCGTTCCAAGCTATGCAGTTACTGTTCACAAATCGCAAGGCATGACACTTGATAGTGCAGTAGTTCATTGTACACGTGAGTTTGTTCCAGGACAAACGTATGTGGCAGTATCCAGAATGAAAAAGGATGATGATTTGCAAGTGATTGGCTTTAGGAAATCTTTTCTTCTGCCCATACCAGACGAACTTGTGTCTTTCGATTCAACATACTGCGCACCATTTTTGGAGAACCAGAAATGCTGTAAAAATCAAGTCCTTGATGGTAATGCATTCCTTGTTCATGATCGAGAAGAAGCAACACTTACTGACCCAGAGGACCCTGCAAATACAATCAGCCACTTTCAGGAATCTGCGGCCAAGGCATACTACGAAGATTTCGAGGATGCTGAACCTGCAAGTCTTGAAGATGTACTTCTTTCGTTAGATGAAATGACTAGCGAATTATCAGCTCCTCCTAAATCGTTCAACCCTGTGAATTTTTTGGAAACATTCATATTCAAACATGATGATCCTGTTTCTTCTTCTATAAACTCAGAGGTAGAGTTTGCTTTGGACGAGTCAAACGTGGACAATTTTAAGCTTCTGCTTGGAATCATCTGGTGCAGAATCTTTATTATTTTTAAGGACTTTCTCGCAGAGAACGTGGACAGTGTGCGAATGACCAGTAAGAATTTTTTCGATGCAACAGCAAAGTTAAATGGAATATTTTTGTCTTGTGAGTACAGAAGAGACGTCTGTGCAGCCTTTGGTGAAACATGTTGGCAAGACATCAGCCACGGTCAGCAAGCTCTTTGTGCCCAGATAGTTCATGGACTTTTTCAGCTGTTCATCAACGAAGTCGCTCAACGAATAAGGCGAGTGGAACTGTCAGAACCTGTTCCGTTCAGGGTTGAAGAAATGGATGATATTGGAAAGGGAAAAATAAGGTATATTGGCGGATGGGTGGTTCGGAAGGTCCTTGAAACTAGTCGTAGGTATTTAAAGGACAATAAGTTTTCTACTGTCACTCCTGTTCGTGCAAGACTCGCTGCAGAACTTCGCAAAATGGAAATGTTGGAAAACGATATAATTGTTCCATTTGAATCGCTTGAGAATGATACGGAAGCTATTGGAACATTGAATGTTGTGGAGTCAAGACAATTCCGTTGCCGCGGATTACTCCATATCAGTGATGCAGCTCATGCGTTCTTTCTGCTATTGGAACAGCAAAGAGTTGATCAAATCAACCAGTACCATCTGCTCCATGAACAAGGGCGAATGGTTGAAGCCGCACTGATTAAGATCGGCGGTGATGAAGATTTGAAGGATAAATTCAGACTGTTATTCAACATGGAGAATGCTGGAGATGAGGTGGGTATCGACAACAATTTTACTAGCTAAAATAGTCAAGCATTTTCCAAAGAGAGATATTGTAAAACACAGAACTCCTACGAAGGAGTTATAGAAAGATAATAGCAGGCATCTGAATTCAGGTCGGCAATCGGCAAATCAGGTAGAGAGATACATGTATTCTTATTTATTATATAAAGTATAGTGCTTTATTATAGAGATTTCGAGCACTGATAAAAGTGATAATCTCACATGTGAGATTATTCATGATAATCTCACATATGAAAATGATCGCTTTTCAATTATCGCTTTTATGTAAAAAATATCGCTTTTCAAAGACTGTCCTTTATTTAATAAACAGAAAAATACATGGGTGCTTGGAAATACCAGATTTATTTCTCGTGTTGAACATGATATATCACTCGTTCGCTGCCAGCGCTCACTCGTGAGATATCATTTTCAACACTCGAAATAAATCTGGTATTTCCAAGCACCCATGTATTATTCTCTATATAATATATATTTAAACTTTAAGGAACTGTGTGTATGTCTTTCACAATATCAATGATCCGAAGGAATTTTCATAGCAAAACGTACGTTTATGACGTTGAATTTTTTATGTAACCAATCAATGTCATAAACAATCTAATTAGAACAAAATCTTTACTTATTTTAGTTTGAAATCAAAGCCTTTTCAATTAACTGCAACTTGCAAATATACTTGAGAAATTACAATACAGTATTTACTGGTTTGTAATCAAACCAAGTGTCGGCATTATTACTACTGCCACATTTTATTGAAACTTAAATTTGCCGACCTGATTTCCCGCTAATTCACAGGCCTGTAATGGCTGTATAGTTTACATGTAAAATAGTAATACTATCGAGATTATTTAGAAATATCCTGGGGGAGTTGTTTGAAAGCCTGTTAGCTCAATCCAGAGTTAATGAAACTTCAAAATAAATTATCCAACGACTTGTTTACAACTTTGAAAAGTTTCCATAAATCTTTTCAGGATCAATAGATGTGTTACCTGTATACGTACGCGTAGAAACACACATATACCCAAACAGCAAGTTAACTTTTAACCAGGGTTAACGCTATATAATCGTACTTTGAACAACCGGCCGCTGTAGTTTATGTGCATCAGTTGACCAAAGTGCAAGAAAACTACTCGTGTACAGCGTCGTTTTCGTCCTACTATTATCCGTCTGGCCGTTTTTATTTTGTTGAATTGGGTTACTTTGTGTGAAATAACCTGCTGCATTTTTTTTTATAGAAATTGATTCAAGAAATATTTAAAGAAATGATTACCAGATATGTTAGGATGGGAGCTGGACAGTTCATTAAAGATTTTCGCCGCGCATTCAAGATTAAGAGGGCAGCTGCGCATAGACATGCTGTTATGCAAAGGAAGGAAAAGGCACACGAAAAAACCCAAAAGGTCCATTTAGCCTGCATAGAGCAAGATGCATCTGCCGAAAAAAAAACCATCTCATGCAAGGTTACTTGCATTTCTTTCCCAATTCCAAGAGAAAGGTTTTGTAAGTGTTTATAACAAGCAAGAGTTAACACGGTTATGTATGGCTTACAACATACCGGTACGTCAAAGTTGGGTTAAGGCAAAGATGGCTAATGAGCTTGCCAAGTCAATTTTGTCAAACAATAGTATTCCCGCGCATCAAATAATGAACAATTACCACGTAGTACAAGAATCAGATTGCGTGATAAGATTGCGACGGGTTTAATGACTATATGAATATGGTTAAAATTAAGTTATACTGTATATAACAAACGTTTATATGCATCATTACATAACAAAATTACAATTCACTAAATTTAGTAACCGTCAATGTATTTCAATACAATTGCATTGTCCTTAGCCAATCAGAATACACTTTTCCGGAAAGTGTTCAGACTTGGCTAAACAGCCTCGTTTTCGTGTTTGAGATATTGGGTTTAGAACTTCGTATGTTGTTGCAGGTGACACTGATTTACGAAATCATAGAGTTAGAACAGATAATCTAACAGACCTTCATATAATTAGGTCATCAGTGACAAGAAAAAGGGCTCTAAAGCCGATATCCCAATCGCGAAAACTAGGCTCTATAGCCAAGACAGAGTAAAGGTGTATTGAGTAATTTTTTCATGTATATTATATATTAGTATAGTAATGATAGTTATACAGTAATTAAATATGTTCATTTTTTCTTGAAGACACCACGGCTAACTGGTAGGTTCGCAACAATTTCATTCTTTTCCACACCTGTATTGCTTTTCCTGCTTATTATAGATTGACCAAATATTACAGCATTTTGCGTGGTTTGAGTAAGCAAATAAGTTGGATTTTCATTTTGGGCGTTCGCACCTCTCAATTGTGAAAAATGATTTTCACATACATCTTGGTTAACAATTGCTGGCCTTATAACTGATTCGGGAAATCTCGATAATTTATAGCGTACTATTGCTATAAAACCGTGAATCAGCGACTGCAAGTCGAACCATAGTTTATCTGAGATGAAATGCTTGTTCTCCGTACACTGAGCTTTCCAATTCTTAAAGAAATCAAGGCACTTCGCTAAATTAACCAAGCGGTTGTCTTGGACGTCATGAATGAACTGCTTGTCACTGAACAGTTCCACTACTCGGCTTGTATGGAGCAGAAATTCGATAGACATATCCAGTCTGCTTGAATTTTGACCAGTTTTGTCCAAGTGATCTTTGTAAGCCTAAACAATTGTTATGCATGAGAATATAAAATACGTGTAAAGTATGATGCAGTGATCTTATATCACACCATGCAAGTTCTTTGCTTTTTGTAACATGTTTCAGATTAAATAAGGTTAATCAAATTATTCGTATTTGACATCCACTGCCGCAAGTTTAGAATAAGTCAAATTTGAACCTATTTACTCTTGCTTGCGCAATACGGTATACTAAGGATTCAGACCTATACTGTACATACATGTGGCACGCTAGATGATGTACAATGTACATGCAGGCTGTGCATGCAGGCTGTGCATGCATGCATGCATGTATGCTATAATCATAGGGTTGCTTATATTGTGAATAATTTAAAACCGCTTTTGTGTCAGTATAAATATTTAATGCAGCTTTTATGCTATACCTGCATCAGAAACAGCATCTTTTTATCCAGTACGTCCTCCGCCAAATGATTTCTCATCCTGGAACTGGGAGTAAGGCTAAAATGATCCTCAGTGAGCTTCTCGTGAATGTGGCATGATGTCGAGGTTTGATCCCATATGTACGCTTCTTTCCATTGGGACCAAAGCATATGGTAGCCATTGAAAGTGAGGCATCTGGGACTTCCATTCATATAACTCTTTTCCAAATTATTTCGTATTTTCTTAAAAATGTGCTAAAACAATAACGGAGATTACAGTACATTAATTAAATATACGGAGAGCTTAATGAAGATATATATATATATATATATATATATATATATATATATATATATATATATATATATATATATATATATATATATATATATATATAAAATAGCCTGTGTTAGGTTATAAAAACCAATGATAGAGTGCTCAATGGATAACCAGAGCATAATAGAAACACACAAAAACTTAGCAAGCTTTGTTTGGCATATTTATTATATATATGCCAAATAAAGCTTGCTAAGTTTTTGTGTCTTTCTATATATATATATATATATATATATATATATATATATATATATATATATATATATATATATATATATATATATATATATATATATATATATATATATAT